CTCACCTATTGGCTAACTTTGGTAGCCCAATCATGAACTCCTGTAATGGACTGTGAGTCATGGGAACAACTGGGTCAATTTGAAAAAAGGTGTGGTTCATGGTCTCTAGTAGAAGATGGAGTGCTTCAGTATTTTCGCATTTTCCTTGACATAATTAGATCGGAATCCCATCAGATTAATTTAGAAATAACTAATTTGACAATAAATGATTATTAGATTGATAAAATAAATTTTTAGAAGTCGCTGGATATTTTATTTTCTCAAAACAGATTTATAAATAGGATAAATTGTATTTTCAAAATTTTAATTATTCAAAGAGAAAATAAAATATTAAACGCTTTCTTAAAATCATGCTATCAATTTTAAAATAACTAAGACACATGGGGGCTCATTATTCTTCATGGGCCCCACCAAATTATGACATGTGGGGAGGTGCGTAGGGCCCACTAGAGGTCCCGTGGGTGGCATGCCCCACATAGTGCATCTCTTTCCTATTGTGTTGAGGCATGCAAGATGCCATTCCACTTGATTGAATTGAAATGTGAAATAAAATACTAATTGTCTTTTCAAAGAGGTATGTGTAAGATATTGAAGAAAATAAAAAGGAAGAATATTGAATTTTCTCTACACCAAATATTTGATGGGACTAGAGAAAAGAAGCTGAATGATAAAGTTCTAACACCTTCCATTAGATCATGATAGCTGATTTATGGATTGAAGGCTAAGATCTCTCACCTCACACGTCTCCCAAGATCAATAGTCTAAATCTAATCTCCACAAGGCTGGCTATCCCAAAAACCCTAACCCTAACCCTAATCATGAGTCTACATAATGTCTCATCTGGGGGTCCCATTCTCTACACCTAAAACTTACATCTCTCTCTCCCCCCTCTAAAAGCCCCATGCCACTCTCACTCTCTCATCTCTTTCAACTCTCTAGCCTCTCTATAAGACTTAGAAAAAATATTGAGAAAGAAAGAAAGAAAAAAAAGTGGGCCACACTCCATTCATAGAGCTTGGAGGGGCACGCCCCATACACATACTTTGAGCCCTAGTATTTGTTCCACATTGCTCTCTCCATTGAAGGTTTTTAGCGAAGGATTCCCACAGTAGTAAGATATGAGAAAGACCTTGATCTCGTGTGCTATCGGAGGCGGAGACCCTAGTGGGGTATCAAGTCCAATTGAGGTAATCTTTTGGAACTTTAATCTTTGTTTATGCAATTTGAGTTTCTTGTTCCCAAGTCAATGTTATGTAATCTTTATTCTTGAAATAAAAGAGTTGTATTAAGTGGCAGCAAGTGAGAATCCATTTTGTGTTTCTTCCTTATTTATTTTGAGTTTATTTTGTATTATTTGGACTCTATAAGTGTCCTAGCAGGTAGAGAAAAAGAAAATTTTAAACTACATATAACGTGCTCCTTCACCCTGTCCAACTTTCACAGAAGGGATCCAAGCCTTTGTCTGAATCTAAGTGTCTCAAAGATTCAAGGCCCAAACCCATCTATCAATAGCTCTGAAACAGGAAGAGATCTATTGGTACTAGAGGTCTAAAGCCAACTAGCTTAAACACGAAGATAGAAAACTACATCCTTTTTTTACAAATCTGCAGCCTCCAGAAGAAGGAACAATGCCAAAACCCAAATCTCAATTGGCATGAGGATCCTTAACAATCCTCAACATGTCAACAGGATCATCATTTGTTCCTTTCAAAATATTTTCTCATATCCTCAAGGCCCAAAACCTAAGATGGCCGACATCTCCTTCAATACTCTATCATAGCTTTTTTAGCTGCCTCCTTAGAGTATACCTTCCTAGAGAGCAAAATAAAATAGGCCATATCATAATTTACCCAAGACAAGGCCCCGAGACCAGATAGATTCCCTATAATCATTTTAAACCATTCCTGGGACTTCTTAGCCTCGGATCTTTTGACCTTCTTTCATGAAATTTACTATATAGGATGACTTCACAAAGACTTGAATTCCACCTTCCTCGCTCTCATCCCTAAACTAGGAGATGGGGCAACGATGGGAGATATCTAACCAATTAGCCTTCTGAATTCATCCTACAAGATCCACAAAAAGTGCTAGCCACCAGACTTAAAGTCTTCAATAGGCAAGGTTATCTCCAAGTCTCAATCGGCTTTCATGGCAGACAGACAAATTCTGGCACACGAGGCTATCCAATCCAAACACCTCATTGTTGGAGGGTATTTTTTGACACTTATATCCCCGATACGAATAAGGAGAGAGCAATTTGTGACCTAGGTCCACAGGTACCAAAATACCTATGGACTACGGAAGCCTAGGTGAATAAGCCATGATCCAAAGTAAAATTTTCGACTGTCTCTGAATGGCCTCAGAATGCTAAAAAACGTGGCTAAGGGTCTCCTAAGAACACCTGCTAAGTTTCATCGCGATCGGTCGAGTTTAAAGCAGTGCATATGCAAAAAACGTTTCCGAAATTCGGCCTCTAGCACGTTGAAAATGGACCTTACAAACTATGACCCTATCACCGGAGCATCAAACGATCATGGGACCACCGCCATTGGATCCGGAACGTTCGAAAACCCCTAGGGACCAAGTTTCAGCTTGATCGGACGTTTTTGGACCAAGTTATGGCCAAATTACCCAAAACGGGTAGGTCACGCACTATTCCGGTGCACCCTCGTATCTTTGGACACTTAGGTTTTTGATTTCGGGCCCAACTTTGGACACTCGTATCTTTTTCGTCCTGGGTCGGAATGAGCCCAAATTTGAGAGCATGTTCGTCTCGTCGACCCGATCGATTTGATATATGGCATGCCCCCATGGCGCAGCACCAAGGCATGTGGGGAATTAGGAATTAGAAGGCTGACATAAAACAACTAGGCCATATTAGGCAAGTGGTGGTAGAGGTTTGCTACCAACAAATCCCAACTATGGAGAGAAGTCAAAGCACAGAAATATGATAAAAAAGAAGATGGTTGGATCCCAAAATACCCCCTCATAGATCTTCCAGAGCTTGGACCGTTATGGCTAAGTGTAGCCAAGGTTTAAGAGGTTCAATAGGATTCCTAGTTCACAATGGTGACAGAATCAAGTTTTGAAAACACCGACGGATGGGAGATGTCGACTTAGGGAGCAAATGGCCTCAGCTCCCGGCCATTGCGACTGCCTGCATAGAGGACTTAGTAGAATTAACGGCTGAAGAATTGCTCTGATGCCCTGCGTTTAGACAGCTTCTGACGGACCTGAAAGCAAAACACTTTAGCAATTGCTTCTCTTTCTGCTACCCATCTTTGGGTCTCTTGAAGGTAGGTATCAGCTAGTGTTGTCCTCTACCCCATTCCGCGTCTTCACGGTGAGTTCATTCTCCAACATTCTCCAGTAAGCCTCTTCTCAAGCTTTACTCTTCTGGTGCCGCACAAGATCCAAGCCTCTCATGAACCCCGAGCCCACGGAGGGGTGTTAAGCGATAACCAACTCAAAGGAGAGGCTTACACCTCCTAAGCCACTGCTGCATGTGCCTCCAAGAGGAAGAAAATATCAACCACATTTTCCTCTACTGTGAAATTGATAGGGGTCTATAGTCCTCCCTTCTTCTTAATCATTCGGACTCCATTGGATCACCCCATAGTTTATAAGGAAATTGTAGATGTCCCCTCCTTTCACGACACTCGATCACCTTCTGTGGTCTGCCTTGATACTCGTCTTGCTTGGGTGAGCCATGGAAGGAGAGGAATGCTAGGACCTTGCGACAACTGCCCCAAGCCATCTTTGAGTTTATTGCCGACACCATCTCACAGGCAAAGTGCATCCCACACCTCAAAAGTCTAAGTGCAGAGGACCTTAGAAGAAATCAGCACAACATAGTACAATTGGCCCCCAGACCTCTCAGACCAAGCCCCCTTTGAAACCCTCTGCCCCAAGGTAGCTTCATGCTAACTGTAGATGGGTGCTCTCTTGATAACCCAAGCCCCTCAGCGTACGAAGACAGTTTGGCCAACCCTGAGGGGGAAATCTTCTGCTTCTCTGGGTTCGTAGGAATAAATAGATTCCATTACAGCCAAATCCACTGCCATTCTTGAGGGTCTCAAGCAAGCCACTCCTTTTGTTGTTGGGGTGGGACCTCTAGTAGTGGAAGGGGACGCTAGGAATTTCATTACTTAGGCTGCTAGGCGGGGCCAACCTCCATGGAGACTTGCTTATGTTTTCAACCATATTTTTATGATTTGCAGGAACCTCCGGGGGACTTTTCGCAAAATCCTGAGAGCGGCCAACCATCGCACTGATCAGTTGGCTAAGGTAGGTGCTTGGGGTGGCTCAATGATAGGCCGGACGTCAATGGCCTTCCCTCCACCCCATGAAGTACTGTCGACCAACCCAGGGTGTCCAACTGCTCTCTCTACCTTTCCTCTTCTCTCTCTCTTCATCTTTGTCTTCCTTCCTCTACCTCCATTCCTCGCCCCCACTCTTCTAGGTTTATCTCTTGTAGTCTATGTTCTTAGGACTATCCTTGTCTATTCTTTTGGTAACCAAGCTCCCCTCGAGAGTGGCCCGCAGCCTACTTTTGTACAGAGTGGAGATTTTCGGTTTTCTTTCCTGCGCTGTGGTTTGCCATAAACTACCTTTCCTTCTTTCTCTCTACTCTCTTTTCTCTAATTTTATTTTTCTGCCCATGCTTTCCTAAGCACTCCTTTGTGAACCGCCAGCAAAGGCCGTGTGGGTTTTTGTAACTTTGTAATATAATAATACAATACAGTCAAATCTTCTCCAAAACAAAAACAAAAAATGGAGGCAAGAGACTGTAAGGGAAAAGGGGATGGAAAGGCGAAATTGCCTTCCTCGAAGTACGCACCGGAAAATCAAATGAAGAAAGCGATATCGAATTCTCCAAAAAGAAATCAATATCATTAATGGCCCAAGCTCTAGCAAAAGAAAATAACTAAAACTTAATTAAAAAAGAAATAAATTATACTTATGCTTACAAAATAATTTTCATAATAACGATGGCTTACCATTACCCAAATTAGAAGAGCAGTTCTTGCCCAAGATTGGAACCTTTTTTGAGGGCCCCACATGTATTACTTCTGCAACCTGAGCAGAGTTTGGTTTCATAAACTGATCATCCATGTCTTGAAAGGCCCCATAAAGGCTATCCCACATTCCAGATTTAATGGAAATCACCTGGAACACAAGCGTAGAAGACAGAGATATATTGTACATGTAAGCTAGTGATAAGAAGGTGCAAAGTCCCAATATGCCCCATATCTAATATCCTAATCCCACATTTCAACAACATGCAATTATAATGTTAAGCAGGAAGACTATCCACACAAAGAAGCTCCCTAGAACAAAAGGACATCTTAAATAATAGAAATCATGGTTCAACCATCCATCATCAAATTCGATATATTAGCCAGGGCCAAGCCCCTTGTGAGATGTTAAGGATAAGAACAGAAGGACAAATCTGGCAGTACAGTCCAATATAAGAATATTTTTAGAAACATATCAACCTATATATCATGGCACAGATAAGTCGCGATTCAATTTTTGAAAAGAAAAAGATTTAATATCCGTAACAAATGCCATTATACCGGTTCTTTTTAAAAATAATGCCAGATATATCCACCATAAATCCGTTATCTAAAAAAATTAAAAATGAGTAAAATATCACACAAACTTGTGCCCCCTTATTTACATCCATTATTTACTAATAATGCACATTATGTATTATTATTATATTTTCCACATTATGTATCCAATATATCTGGCAATGTCAATATATATCAGTTCAGACCCCTACCCCATATGGGTATCTGTACTGGTATTTGAAACTTGATTCAAACATATGAGGCTGCAATGAATTGAACCACAGAATCACAGATCCCACAACCAAAACCATAGTTGCCACTTGCCCAAAGAACAAATGCTGGGAACAATTTGAGAAAGGGGTTCTGAATACAAAATTCAAATAAGTCCTTGGTTGAAGAAAATGGAAAACGTGATGAAAAAGCTGCATGAGGAAAACAATGAGAAAGAAGTGGAGAAAAATATGAGAAGAACATCGCAAACATACCATCTAAAAGCACTTGGGAAATCACGAGAAGAGTATGAAAATAAAAAGAATTATAATTCAACAATGGGTAAATGCAGGGGGAAAATGTAGGAGAAACGAAAGCAGTGTATCCCCAACCAAACAAGGAAACAGAACAACGATAATTTCTAGAGCACGTTTAAGCAAACGGGCATGCTATTGAGAATCAAAAGCTCCCAGCAAGTATGGTCCAAGATAAAAGTACGAGGCCGCTACCACCATGCTTTCTTATAAAAACTCAGCAAGAAACAAAACCATTCACAAAAAAATGGAGTTAGAAAAACTACGAATCATTGCACGCAGGGAAGATAATCATGCAACTTACAGCGATGTTGAGTAAACCAAGAAAAGGGTTGGATGAAAAGATCTGCAATAACAACTTCATCAGCTTTTTAGAGTTCACCAAATCTTTATAGGAAAGCATCATCCTTTCGAAAACCTAGATATTCAAACAGCGATCGCCATGTTAATTTCATAATTGCAAGATACAAAAGGACAGAATGAGCCTGGTACAAATAAAAGGAGTTAATCAATACAAGCAAAAAAAACATTTGACAGTAAAAACCCTTATTATAAACATATAAAATGAAAAGCCATGCATGCTAATTATTAGCAAATCAAGGCAGTACAGCAAAAGAAGGGGTACAAAAGTTATTATGATACCACCTACATCTCATTTTACAATCAGAATCCAATATAACTAGTGAAATATGAAGCATTATGTCATTTAAAAAGTACAGAAAATAAGAGAACTAAACAAGATCCTGGACACAGAAAAAACATTCTTTAAAATTTAACCATTCACTGACAGAAGAGACAGAAAAGAACACATGGTGTCACACAAACAGACCACAGATTAAGTAATTATGAGAAGGAAAGCACACAAGCATGCAAAACTAGAGATAAGATAAATAGAGGGGTAGTGGAGGAGACTTAGAAGGTGAAAATTAAAACCTAATAATGATAAACAAAAAGAAGATCGTAACAGATCACAGTAATGGCTGGATCCAGTAATCTATATCAACAGAAAAACATCTGACTTGTCTCCATCCTATACGCCTCAAAACTAAAAATGCATGACGGCACACAACATTTCTGAAGAGTCACCTTTCAATATAATCAAATAGAGCAAGACCTTCCAAGACTTAAACATTTGACAAATGTTGCCCATGCTAACCCACCCATTGATTATGCTTCCAATAAATGCTCAATTAGTGAATGTACACGTGTATCTAGTCACCTCTGTAGCACTTACCCAAGAGCATTAATTTTAACAAATGCCCAATAAGCTACAGGTGCCCAACCAGAAACTTGTAAATAACATTAATAAACTCCTAAAAATAAGAGATTTTGCTAAATAGTCTCATATTTGATTAGACTGTATAGGGGTAGTACAGGGACCTATTATTTCGACATGTGATTCCCATCAAGGAATAAAATCAATATTAGCTCAAAAAAAAACAGATAGCCTGCCATGATTCTTTATTCAGCATTTTCATCATTGCTTTCTTTTGCGAAGAAGCCATTCTTAACCTTTCCGAATTTGATGAAATCTGAAAGCTCTAGTGGAATTATGACACATAAAAGAAGGGGAAAATGGGTCTGACCCATAAATACTACAATTTTTGCAGAACAAAGTTTCAAAAATGAAAGAAAAAAGAATAAAATGAGGAAGAAATAGAACTCTGGTGCATGTCAGACACAAATATCTCAAAAAGAATGTAACAGACCTCAGTTACAGAGTGCTCCTGACAAGTCTCCTTCCAAAAAGAAACGAACGCTTCAAGAGATTTTCTTGGAAGCTCAAAACTACATATTTCCACCTGAAATTTGCCTCTTGATGATCTATAGAAATGGGAAACAGTATCCACAGTGTGTTGATCTCTCTCTGTTTCTTTGGAATCTACATGTAGTGCTTCATATTGGGCATGTTTTGGATCACCAAAACCCTTCTCATTGTTCTCAGTCTTCAAACATTTCTGAGAAGAATCCAACATTGAAGCTTCTTTGTCCACTTTTCGCTTCCTCTTAGAAGATTTCTTACTTATGTTGCCACTTAAACCGTTAGCAGAAGATCCAGTTACATGTGTACTCGTTTCCATCCCAAGCCTTATCATCTCCTCTGCAGCTGAAGGGTAGGGGCACGTACTCAAAGGGACCCCACATGACTTCTCTTCCCTTTTCTTTTGGATTGAGTTGCCATTTGCTCTTTTTGAATTGTCATCACCTGTATCATCTTCTTCATCATGAACATCCTCTCCATCTGAACTTGATGAAATAAAACGGATGTGATTAGGCTTAGAATCTTTGCACCCAGAAAAAAATGACTTCATACGCTTTGACATAACATTGAACCGTTTGTCCAGTGAGTGCATCTGTGACTGTATTGCAGTATTATGTGGCACATCCTCTTTTCCTTGTTTAGCACGAATGTTGTAAGGTTGCTCCTTTGTTTGGACATTGGTCAGACGCGCAGTCTCCACAAGAATCTGAAGTGGAGCCTGCTCAAGACTCTTGGCTTCCCGAATATACTTGAGATGCATCCTTCAAAGGATTGAATCAATTAGCTAAATGTAAAATGGGGAAAAAAATGAAGGTAAAGACCACACACAAATTGACTAAAATCAATCCAGAACACCAATTTCTTAGAAGATGAGCTCAAATGATAGATATGTAGATACTAGCAGTGACAACAGAATCAATAAGAGAATGCATAAAATGTAGCATTATCAAAGAAAAATCACGAGTTTCACAAACCATCTCAGTAAGTAGTTCACAGCTCCTAAACCCATCCTTCTGAATCAATTCAGAATACCAATCTCTTAGAAGACGAGGGCAAAGGATAGATATGTAGATACTAGCAGTGACATCAGAATCAACAAGAGAATACATAAAATGTACCATTATTAAAGAAAAATCACGAGTTTCACAAACCATCTCAGTAAGTAGTTCAAATGCTCCAAAACCCATCCTTCTGAAATTTACAACATGTAGAGAGCTTAAAATCATCCAAACATAGCATTACACTCGTGAAGATAGGTTTCTGGAATAAGCACCAAATGCAGGATGAAAAAAACAATTAGCAACAAATAAACAATCGTGACAAATACCAGCTACCTAATGGCATCTATATTCCAGAAATTGAAACAGGAAAATCTCAAATCTACAATTAGCTATTTCACAAGCAAGTTCTCATTTTATATTCATATCATGTGGCTTACTCTTGCAGAACATGCACCCGATGCTCATAAATCTATTTAAAAACAAGTCACATCTATATTATACAACTTCAGCATTAGTCTTCTCTAAATCTATCCCAAAATTCAAAAGCATGCATCAACCCAAACAGAAACAAGGGGCCATTTTTACATGTTGATTATCTACATTAAGATTATCTCAGGATATAACAAGACAATGATTTCAAACTGTCCCATGCACATAAGATCAGGGACAATAATATACACACCCCAAACTCTCAATGCGTATGCATAGCTTTGCTGGATCTTTAAATGCTAACTTCCTTGCAAGGAATGCCAGAAAACCCTTGACCTGGATGTCATCATCCTTACAAATATTCATGAAATCAGATAGATGACTAATTATATCCTGAGATGTTATCTTGGGAAATTCCATTACATCAGAAGCAACTGAAAAATAATCTCGCACCAAAGGGTTCTGCAGTAGAGGTCCCAACGTAAGGTCTTCAAAGTTGTCAAGTCCTTCACTCTTGCATACCTCTGAATTCAATTCATATAAGGTGGTGATTCTCCTTACACCAACAAAACAATGTATAAAGGCATTCACCTGCAATCAGCAGAACATATGCTCATTAATCAACTAAAATAGCTCATAGTAACTAATTTGATTTGAGTAGTTCTGGAATATTAGACAAGGCATGAGAATTAAATTCATAATGCACTAACCAATAAAAGGATCAGATCTGTTACTGTAACCATTAATGTAGCCAGTGGCGCACAACCAAGCTAAAACCAGAAAATATGCAAGCATAGTCTCTGATCTAAAGAAACACAACAACCTATTGCATTACCATGTCAAGACAAGAAATAAATTGGGCTAGGTTCTGCGATGATTACGTTTTTAACTGTGCGGTAGCCGAGGTTCAAAACTTTTTTTTGGTTATGCTGCAGCCACCACTGATGCCGATGGCTTCCTGAAGGCATAATTTTTCACCTAGATGACCATTTCAAGTCATTCAAATAGTAAATTGAAGATATTTCAGAGATCATCAACTAGTATCTCTGCATTTTTCCTAATTTGGACATTTCATGCTACAAATCATGGATGAAATCCCGCGGAGAAAACTAGTGAAGAAAATTGGTTTAATTAAGGCTTTAGCTTTAATAAGGTATTTCTCTACATATTTCAAAATGTAAGTAGTTCTTGTTATGTTAAAGTGTTCGAAAGAGGGCCCTTACATATTTCATTTTGTAAAGGCATAGTTCCCAAAAATATAAGGAATCTAGTTGCTTAATTTTGGAACAATTTTGAAGTTTCTGAAATTTAGGAAAGTTATCAATAGCTTGATTCCGAGCTAAGTCAAATACAGGGAGATTCCAACCTCTATAAATGCTCATGTAGGACCAAATAAATCAAGACTAAGAAATAAATTTAGTTTTAAAGATCGATGTGAAACCATCTTTCAGGAGTCATCCCTTCATCTCTAAAGCGTAATTCCTTGACTCACCTGTGTGGTGTGACACCACAAACCCTAGAACTTGGATTTGTCTGAGGCCATCAAGAAACAAGGGCCCCTTCTTTGAATTGAAAGACCTAAAACCACAAACGGTTGGCCTACGTTGGACAGTCTCCTAAAAGCGAAAGTTTTGCTCCTGTCTTCCTTTCCCCCATCTTCATCCCTTCTCTCTAATCTCTCACTAAAACCCTCCACCCATTCAAACCCTACCATAAACTCTAGCCATACCTCTCCAAAGTCCAAACCTCTAGGTTAGGGGTAAGAATTTTCCAAATCGGGTCCAGATCCACCCATATCCAAATCCAGATCCGGATAGTATACATCGGATCCGGATCCGATTGGATCTTGAATATCTGGATCTGGATCCAAATTTAATTCCATATCCATTTTCCACCATCGATAATGGACGGTGCAGCATCATGTAGCCTAAATCATGTACCATACGCCACGGGTATGTCGCACGATGATGCAAAGGAATTTGCAAATTGACGCAGTATAAAATTTACCGGCAAACAACATCGATAAAAATAACCGTGTTTTAGAGATAAAAGTAAAAATCCAGAAGGGGTCACAAGAAGAAAAACAAAATGCGCGGATACAAGTATTCCGGCACGAGCCCATAAATACAAGAGAATAAATAACACCCACAAAGGGCCTCTCTTTCTACAAGAAAACACTTTCTTTATTTCATAAAATTCAATTCCCATTACATGGCGCGTGCCTCCTTTTATACATTTAAAACTTCATATCACGTAACTCTTAAAAGATAATCCCTAATATATCTCCCTACTAAAAACCAAAAATGATAACTAATCAAAATAAATCTATCTCTAGATTCTTTCCATATTCTCAAATCCAACTTCCTAAAAGATAATTACAACTCCCTACTTCATCCTTTCCACCTACATGACCCATTATTTTCCTTAGTTTTAACCTAACCCAAACTAATCCATATTTATCCCTTTCCTTTCTAAACAAAAGATAAATACCATTACCCCAAGCGATACCCTAATAAAACCATCAACCTATTCTATAGTACCCACATTTTTATAATAGCTCCTAAAAGATATATGTAAATGATTTTACCTAAAAGTAAATAAATCATATTTCTAAGATTAACAAAAATGAATATTTCCTATAATAGAAATGATTACCAACTCTCTCAAAAGAAGAAGATTTGGCCTTAAAAAAAAATACAGACTTAATTTTCCCAAGTAAAATGTACTTCCTAAAATTAGACTTCATCCGAGAGAGGAAATATGTAGGAAATCTTGGTGGCCTCCTTTTATAAAATCCTTTCACAGCCTCCCACCTTTCCGGCCAACCCCACCTCGGTAGTTTCGAAAGTGTGGTCTACTTTTGCTCCACCGAAGGTCCAAACATTCAACTGGCTAGCCTACTCCCACAAAGCCCTCACTACTGACCACCTCCAAAAGAGAGGGATTCCTATCCCCAACAGATGTGCTTTATGCAAAATAATGAGGAGTCAAACCCCCACCTTTTCTTACAATGCGACTTCTCCTCTGAACTTAGGGGGAAAATTTTGCAACTCTTTGGCATCGAATGGGTCACTCCACCTATGGTAAAAGCGCTCATCTACTATGAACTTCATACTCCATGGCCAAAGGCTGGCAGAGCCCTTTGGAAGGCTACCTTAGCGGCAACCCTGTGGACCATATGGGTGGAAAGAAACAACCGAATCTTCCAAGGTTCAAAATTACAAGCTTCAACTCTCCTGTACAAGGCAATCTCCATGGTAACCTTCTGGGCCTCGAACCACAAGGCCTACTCGGGTATACAAAGGACCCAGTTCCTCCCCAATGAAAAAATATTCTCCTGCACTGCCCATGACAACCACAAAAATCCAGCTTTTGGCAACCACCCCCCAGAAGGAACCATCAAGCTAAATTTTGATGGGTGTTCCTTAAGGAACCCTGGGCCGGCAGGGGCTGGAGGGGGTTTAGAGACCACCAAGGCAATGTTTTTCTTACTTTCTCAGAGCACCTTGGCTTCATGGAAGCACAAATTGCTGAAGCCTTGGCCCTCCTTCAAGTCCTGAAAAAGTTTAATCGCTCTTGGGGATTACACCTCATCATAGAAGAAGATTCAAAAAATGTTCTCTCATGGGCTAGTAGGGCTTCCCCTCGGCCATGGTATCTAAACCACTACATTTGATGAAATTGATCACCTTTGTAGAGATATGGATGTCTCTCGGCAGCATACATGGAGGATATTAAATGACTTCGCGAATCGCTTGGCGAAAGAGGGAGCAAATATGCAATTACAATATCAAGCTGGGGTCGTCTCCTTTTTTGCACAAGACCTTTGGCTCAACTCGTCTCCATAGCACATCACCTGGCTTTTCTAGGCCTCCTCATCTTTTGTATTTTTTGAAAGCTTCATGTAAAACATTTACATTGGGCGGTTTTATAAGCCCTTTTTGTATATGATACGCTGACTGTATTTTCCAATCCACCCCTTAGGGGATGAACTTGGCCTCTTCTCACTTGTACACTTCATATCCAGTAATACAATGTTAACCTTTTCTCAAAAAAATAAAAATAAAAACCCTACCCAATCTCTAAAAATAAAATTAAAAATTAGTAACATCCAAATTTTGATCTGCATCAAAAATAGAAAAGGGAGTCCAGTTTTGCTTTCTTGTCCGATGACTCCATTGCACTTGTCGCCGATGAAAGCGACTATGTCGTCAACAGATAAAATGGTTTTCTTCTCAGTGCAAATCTATACAATTTTTATAAGGAGAGAGAGTGAGTAATGCCTCGAGCCTACAATCATAGTCTGTTAAGAGGCGGATCCATCTAGTGCTCGGCATGGGCTTGATTGAATTAAGCTCAAGTATTCTGCAAGAGAGGGAGTTAAAGGCGCTTAGTTTAGTTGGAGGTTAATCCTTATTTGGGTTTTTGTGAATCACCCACCGATATTGAACTCCATCTTTCATAAATAAGGCCATGAAGAATAATAAGGGTTTTTTTGCCGCTCTGTTTGATAACGCTTGCGAAGCTTCTCGACCTTGTGTCAACATTATGTAGTGTCTTTGAAGGCGCAGAATAGCCACAACAAAGGCAGACGAGCTCTGCAACTTCTTCCCAATGCAAAGCTTTAAGTTGTCCTCTCTTGAGAGAGAACCATCTCTCTTGGTAAACGTCTATGAGAGCTAGGGTTTCTTCGTGGGTCCATGGACCAGAGGGTTTGCTAGGGCGAGCAAAGAGAGGGCTCGAGCTCTGGGTCTCCTTTGGGTAACAAGGAGGAGGAGGTGGGAGCCGTGAGAGCCATGGGTAGAGAAAGAAGAGGGAGATGAGGGTTAGGTAGAGAGAGAAGAGGGAGACAAGTGTTGGGTAGATGGAGACAGTGACGTCGGTTAAGAAGAGAGAGAAAGTGGGATCAGGGTTTGACAGAAGATATATGGAGAGAGAAAGTGGCGTCAATCAATTTTATATATCATATTCTATTATATATAAATTATAACTTATAGATACATATATAAATTATATCAGTTTCAAAAACCGTGTCAGATCCGGATCGGATCCACCAACACCTAGATCCGATCTGGATTTTAATTCGAATCTGAATTTTGGATCCAAATCTCGGATCTATACCCAGATCCGAATAGGATCTGAATTCTGGGTTTCGGATCCAGATCGGATGTATTCTCAGCCCTACTCTTGGTAAATAGCTCAATAGTTATCTTGACCATGTATCTACCTTCCGAAGCCCTTAAATCAAAGTCTAAACCCTAAACCTCCTTTGCAAGGTTGTTAATTTTCTGCAAAGCATTCCTAGCTTGAATCCCACAAATCATACCCTACTTATAGCCCTAATTATATCAAAAATGTCCCCTTAGAACTAACCCAAATCATATTTCTTTTAGATCCCATCATCCACTCCTACTCAGACCTCAAAACTTCCAAAACCCTGATGTCCTACCTTTGCAAGAACAGAAAGCCCTACAGAAGTCCTAAATACTAGGATAATAAAAAATTACAAATCATACACAACCCTTTATTTTTACGCCCACCAAATTTGCATAGGAGCCCAGGCCCCTTGGTCCAGCATCAACTATTCCCTA